AACAGCACTTGTGAAATGACCTGTTCGTGACAAGAGCTGCTCAAAATTGCCTCTGTGGGATGCTCAAGAGGAAAAGGCAGTGCAAGAGATGTTTTAATAAGTTAAAATGGACCCTATATTCAGTAGGTTTTTTGCATACTTTTACCTTCTACACTTACCTGCAAACAAACTCATCTGGGAAAGCCTCGTTCAGCTCCCTGCTCACTCAGAGCACACGTTCCCCACTCCCTGAGACACCAGTGCTGACATCCCATCGATTTCTATAAGGACAGGAACAGGAGGAGGGTGTGAGCACCAGCAAATCACTACCAAGAACTTATTTCAGGACTGAAAAATAGAGCAGAAAGGTAGTGACACCTCCCTCTGCAGCTGCTCCCTTGCCGTGCAGGGAATAGCCTCACATGGGTGAGGGCAGATGTCCTGATGCTGCATCTCTGGGCTCAACAGAAGACTCAGCAACAAAAGGGTCTTGCAGCAGCACCAGCCTCACCCATGACCCCACAGACCCCTCGCAGAGTGGCTTAAAATGGCAAAATATATGCAATATGGGGAAAAAAAAACACCATTTGCTCTTCCAGGTTGGCAAAGGGCACCCTGGAATCTCAGGGCAGGATATTAAATAAGGATGTTTTCCTCTATCTGCCTCAGAGGCTGCAGCAGACTTCCAAATATTCATAGAATCATAGGATCACTATGGTTGGAAAGGATCTCTAGGATCAATCCAACCTTCATCCCAACATTTCCTCAACCACTAGACCATGGGCTCGAGTGGAATATTGGGAGATTTATATATGCAATTAAAAAGGGCAAATATTTCTCAGTTAAATTAATCACAAAAGTCTACAGATGGGAGGAAGTCTCCATTTCTCAATGCTTCTAGGTGGTGACTCCAGATTGATTTAGATCACATGGAAGTTCTAGACCTGCTAAGAGCTTCTTATGTAAGGCTCTGTGTCATATGAGAGGTTGCATTAGAGGTCACATTAATGTCTTCTGTTCATGATTAGTAACCTCTTTCTGCACACTTAGATGTTACAAGATAAAGCAGTGACATTGGTTAAATTTCCAAAGAGTAATTTGGGATTTACCTGTTGAGGTCGATATGAGTCATGCTGCCAATTCCAATGAGGGTGCTAGAAAGCAGCTTTCCAGAAGTGAAAAATCCGACGTCACGCCTTGCAAGCAAAATAAAAAAAACCTTGAGACAAAAAAAAGCTGTCCACTTGCTGCTTCACCCATCAGGAACTGTTAGTCATCAGTGATGGGGCTGCTGAAAGAGCAAATGCTGTGGCTGCAGAGCTGCTCTTCCTACAAGGTGAATGGAAGGCTTCCTCCAGAGCGTCACTGGCAGCAGGTCTCCCAAATGGGAAGGGATGAGACATGGGGAATTTCTGAAAAGCAAAAACACCCATCACTGTGCTGGTAGCCTGGAAAGCTAAGGGGTGTTCCAAGCTATATCTGGAGCAGATAGTGCATTAAACACACAATGCTCCTTTGTCCCGAAGTGATGACAGAGACCAAGAAGGCAAAAATATGTAAAAACTTGCCCATGTCAGTGTTTGTCAGTGTAAGAAGAGCTACACACACAAGTAGCTCTTCTAATGAGAAGTGTGAGATGTCATCTTGCTCCAGGGGATGGGGCCTCTGTAGAGCACTGAGCCCAAGCCCTGCCTGTGCAGGGTCAGCCAGAGCAGGCTTCCCAGGACAAACCTGTCCACATGCCACACTTGAGGGGAAAAGTATTTACCTAAATGCCTCTCTTTTACTGCAGAATCATAGAATTGATCTGGTTGGAAAAGACCTTTACGATCATCAAGTCCAATCCTTCCCCCAGCACTGCCAGGTCCCCACTGCCCCGTGTCCCTCACACCACATCTCCACAGCCTGGGAACCCCTCCAGGGATGGGGACTCCACCACTGCCCTGGGCAGAGCCTGTTCCAGGCCCTGAAAACACTTTTAGGGAAGAAATTCCTCCTAATGGCCAACCTAAACCTCCCCTGGGGAAACTTGAGGCCATTTCCTCTTGTCCTATTGCTTGTTCCTTGGGAGCAGAGCCGGACCCCCACCTGGCTCCAACCTCCTGCCAGGAGTTGCCAAGAGCAAGGACTTCTCCCCTGAGCCTCCTTTGCTCCAGGTTAAACAACCCCACTTGCCTCAGCTGCTCCTCATAAGACTTGTGCTTCATTGCTCCTCTTTGGACACGTTCCAGCACCTCAGTGTTCTTCTGAACCCAGGGTACACCTGCTGAGTATTTCGTATGAATGTGCAGCAGTTTGTGGGAGGTGGGGTAGAAGCATATGAATGGCTTTTGAGTAACACACTTTCCTTCCTGAAATGACCTTCTTGGCAAACACGAAAGCCGTTTCCTAAAGGTTTAGAAATACTCCCACGTCCCCCGGACACTCTTTAGGAAAAGGTGCTTTATTCATTCATGCAAGAGCTTCGTAGTACTGCAGAGTCAGAGCCTTTCCACAGCAGTAAGCAAGGGTGAGTCAGAGCGAAACTGCACCGTCAAGATCCCTGACGCAGCGAAGGAAACCCAGGTAAACACAGCAGGGCAGGGCCAGAGTTTCCTTTGTGGAATGGACACATCTGCCTCACGCTCGTACCTAAAAAAAAACCACCCCACCAAAAACAAACCAGGTTCCAAAACAGGCAGAAGGGAATTGCGCAAGCGTGAGCCGCCCCGGCGCCCGGGGTGTCGAGCTGCAATGACTTCATGGAGCCCCACAGATGGCTCGAAAGAAGAGAGGGGTGGAAAGGAGAGCTCTGCCCCTTGGCTGGCAGCCAAGGAGGGCTCCCGGTGCCACGCTGCTGCTGCACCAGCTCCTGCTGACTGTGGAGAGAATCCCACGTGCCCAGCGACCCTTTTCTTGCATCCCACAAAAATACCAGTGCCCAAACCTCCAGCTGAGGCTGAGTGACCCCTCTGCTGCAGGGCACCTGGTTTGCAGAGGTGCCTGGGGCTGTGTCCTTCACCAGAGGGTCTAGCTCCAGGCTCTGCTCCGGTGAGGCATCGGCCCAGGCTGCCCAGGGAGGTGGTGGAGTCATCATCCCTGGAGGTGTTTAAAAAACATGGAGATGTGGCACTTGGGGACACGGTTTAATGGCCGTGGTAGGGTTGGGTGATGGTTGGACTCGATGATTTTAGAGGTCTTTTCCAACCTTAATGATTCCATGATTCTATGGTCCATGGACCCACTCCAGGGCACTGGCTCCTGGCAGCATCACACCCACTGACCCTACCACACCACTTTGGCAGCAAAGCTTTATTGACCTGTGGCAGATTTCAGTGCATCCAAAATAAGCAAACAAGTTCCCAGTGTGGGAGCCAAAGAGGAAGCACAAAAAGGTGGGATCCTACCAGAGAAAAGAGTTGAGTTTAGGACCACTTGGTTTTGTCTGAGCCATCTGCTGCTGCTTGCTCTTCTCCTTTCTCAGGTCTTCTTCTGGCAGGCCAAGGGAGAAACCACACGGCTGCGTTAGAGCAGGGGAAGAAAAATGGGTCACCAAATACACGACAGGCTGTGATTCAGACCAGCTCGTGTGCCTGCAGTGATTCACTGGGAGCAGGTTTCCTCACGTCCCCTGGGAGAGGCCACAGCAACAAAAAGGAAAACAAATCAGATCACAAAATCCCACATTGTCTCTGCCCCAAACCCTTCCTTTACTAACATCTCACCCCCCTTACTCTTATACACACATACACCAAACGTTCCTCTCTGTTGCTTCTAAAATTTAAAACAGTAACAAACACCACTTTGCATTTTTCCAGCTTTTTTTTGTCCCCAACAAATTCTTTCACAGAGGTTTACAAACCCAACTTAAAAGAAGTTCAATGCAGCAAAGGAAATAAGAATTGAGAAGATTTGTGCAGAGCAATGCATTGGAGGCAGGCTGGGAGAAAGGAACTATTATTTCAAAGGGAGCTTTCTAAGGAAACCCTTGGATTTCAGGAAGGTCAAATTCACCTTCACTTTCTCTTTCTTGGATAATAGATTCTGAAATTCATCCGTGAAATCTTTATCACAAGGAAGCAGGAGTGTGTGTTAATATATATAGAAAGATCAGGAAAGGGGAAAGCGGAAGATGAGGGACGTCAGAAGGATTATCTTAGCTCTGAAATGATAATTCCTTCAGAGCTGGGACAAGAAGTCTCTGTTAACACATACACCCAGTTCATGGAGCCAGCGCTGGGTTTCTCGGATGGGACCTGTGTCCATTTCTAGGAAATGGAATGGGATTAAGAAGCCAGAAAAATAGATATATCCGTGAGTTGCTTCTAGACTTTAAGAGAGCAGTGTGAAAATAGTGGCACAAACCCTGGGGAGCAGCCAGGCCCCAGGCACCAGCCCGGAGGGATCTGGGCAGCAACACGTCCCAGCTGGGCTGGGCTCCACCACTGCATCCCAGACCCCATCCCGTCACCACTGGGGCACTACACCAGCTGGAGTTTGGGAGCTTAGGCTTGGAATTTGCTGGAGGCAGTGAAAATTCACTGCAGCTTCAGCAGACATATGAGTTAAAAACAAAAATGAGAAATTCTGATGATGTTTATTTGCAGGATAGCATCAGAATGCCCAAGAAGGAGACGGGGTATTGGCGCAGGTTCATTAAAAGCAGTGTTGCTGAATTATGCATCCTAAGTGCAGGCTTGATACCAGGTTTAAAAGTAGAAACACTTTTTTTCCCCTAACAATGGGGCATTCATCTAAAAATAAAAAGCAACTGTGAGAAGGCAGAAGTAACCTTACACAGCACCTTTTCTTCTGTGCAGTGTATCTGAAGCTTTCCTCCTTAGCCACATTCAAATTTACAAGAAGCAAGCAATGAAAAAAAAGAAAAAAAATGCAGAGTCTAAGCACAAAAGATTTGATGGGTTGTGAGGAGGGGGGTCAAGAGAACAGGAAACCCAAGTTGACGGGAAACCCAAGTGACATTTGGGTTTAATGAATGACTTAAAACCCCAATATTGCTCGTCAGGAAATGGGGAGAGGAAATGGAGCGATGTTTTGAGAGTATAAATGAGGGGCTCCATCAAGGTGAAGGCTGCAGATCGGGGCTTCACGCTCCCGTGAAATACAGCCGAGAGCTGGACCAAGAGGCGAGCAGCCCCTCTCCCAGCATGCCAGCCCAGCCAGCCCTGCTCCTGCTGCTCCTGGCCGCCAGCACCCTGCCTGCCAGGGGCTCTCCCTCCCAGCCCGCCTGCCTCCACTTCTCCGAGCTCCTGCCTGCAAAGCTCAAAGAGCTGAGGAGCAAATTTGAGGAAATTAAGGACTATTTTGTAAGTATAACCCTGCGATTCTCTTCTCCTTCTCGTTCTGCTTTTTTTGCAAAGTTCAGTGATTTGGAGGCTGGAGCAGACAGCTTCCTCCCTGCCAGAAATGATTTGGTCATGTAACCTATTACAGGCTGATGGGGGTGAGCAAGAAGAGTTTGGTTTCACTGCTCACCGAGAGACAACGTGCAGGGGTTTTCTTCTTAGTTTTAGTTTAGTTAGAGATTTCATGATGAATCTTTGCAAACCTTTCTAGCCCGACTTCCCCCTCAGCCCTGCAGACCACATTATTCCTGAATTAATAGGAAGGAAACAGTCGCTTCTTCAGGGCAACAAGGTCCAGCCTCACTGAAGTCAGTGCTAGATGAAAAGGGAAATCTTTTGCTACAGACTTTTCCTTTGAAAGAACCACAAAAGGCTGGACAAGGTTATTTTATCACTGGAGAAAGGCTGCAGTGACCTGCACCTGCTGTGGTCCCTGAGAAAGGTCCCTGCTTCTCCTGGCAGCTAACGGGAGCTTCAGGGCTGCTGAGAGAGCAGCACAAGATAAATTGGGAGCATTTGGCATTGCAGCAGTGCTGATAGAAGGGGTTGGTCACATCTTTTTACTACTAAAGTCAGTGTGTTTTAGCAATAAAATGAGGTAATTCTCCAGGTTAAATTTCTAGCTGATGGCATGGTGTGTATTTGTTAGCAAACGAACACAGCCAAGACTTCAGATTTAAAGCTTGCTGTAGATCTCCCAGTTAATGCTGGGGAGAAGTATTTCTAACCTCAAAGGAAAGCTTTCAAGTACCTTGGTGCCACAGGGTGATATTTTGGGAGGTGCCAGCCCCCCGTGCTGCAGCTCTCTGCTCTCCCAGAGCCAATGGTGCAGCAGAAGCACCACAGGAACAAACACCAGCTGCAGATCCCTTGCCCCCCATTGACTGGAGACCTGTGGAGATGCCAAAACCAGGGGGACTGAACCCTCCTGCCCTGGGAGGGCTGCAGAAGCACTCTTACCCCCACACTCCCACAGCCGAGGCCAGCGTGCAGCACTGGCAGCAGCAGCAGGAGTTTCATGTGAATGAAATCACTGGCACTGAAGTTTGTGATTTCATTATCTTGCCATCTCGACCTGATGGAAGAGGCATTGCAGGGCTCAGAGCCAGAGGAACCGGGGACTCCTGTGCCTGGTGTCAGGGTGCTGTGCACCCCAGCCTGCTGGGTGCTCTGACTCCAGCCAGACCAGACATGCAAACACCAACATGACCATTTGGTGAGGCCAAGGGCAAAGCAGCAGTGCCTGCCCAAGGAGTCTCACCTTTCCATTTCATCCCTCCCCAGCAATCCAAGGACGACGAGCTCAGCGTGCAGCTGCTCAGCTCCGAACTGCTGGATGAATTCAAGGTCAGAATCACAACTTTTCATTTAAACCCCTTATCGTTCTTCACCCTTCAGCTGGTGTTTTGTAAGAAAGGAAGCAGGGTGGCAACTGGGGCATTTCCTAAGGTCACGCAGGGAGAGTTCTCCAGCCGGGCAGGGACACGTGTGTGTCTGCGGTGGGGCTGGCACGTGGGTCCCCCCACCCCCTGCCTGGCAGCCACGACACCGCCCCAGGTCTGGTTTATAAACCCCCAGGCACAGACCCCAGCCCCGACCCAGTACCTCCTCTCACCCCAGGGCACCTTCGGCTGCCAGTCGGTGTCGGAGATGATGAGGTTCTACATGGAGGAGGTCCTGCCCAGCGCCATGAGGAGCAGCAAGCACCACCAGCAGAGCATGGGTGACCTGGGCAACCTGCTGCTCAGCCTGAAGATGACAATGAGACGCTGTGTGAGTGGGGCTCAGCAGCACGGGGGGGAAGGAAATGGGTGCTCCTGAGAGGCAGGGCCAGTGCCAGAGCAGCGGCAGGGTGGGGAATGGGTGCTGGGTCTCCCCAGGAGCAGCAGTGTGGGTGTCAGGATGGTGCGTGGGAGCAAAGCTCTGGGCAGGTAGGGGCTCGTAGAATCCCTAGAAATGGGGCTTCACAGCATGGTGGGGGTTGGAATAGACCTCTAGGGATCATCTCATCCAACCCCCCTGCTACAGCAGGTTCAGCTGGAGCAGGTTGCCCAGGATCATCCCCAGGCAAATTCTGAATATCTCCAGAAAGGGAAACTCCACAACATCCTCTTAGCCTCTGCTCTCCAGGCTTTCATCACTTAAATAACGATGATTCAAAGGCTCTGTTCAGGAGCACCACCTATCTGCAGCCATCCCCACCCAACAGAATCTGGCTGAAGAGCTCAGAGGAGGGAGGGGAGGGGTCCATCCCTTACCTGGGTGCTGGGGCAGCGTGGTTCTGTGGTGACGCCTCCTGAAATCATGCCTGGTGTGGCTGTGACCCCATCACCCCCCAGGGGCTGAGTCAGACGGTACAAACCCAGCCCCAGGCACAGTGCACGGGGGGAAGCAGCCAGGGCTGCAGCCCCAGAGAGCCCCGTGGCCACGCGTGGGGAAGGGGAAGGTGGAGACGGGCGGGGAGGAGTGATGAGGGGAGGAGGAGGAGGGGAGAGCTGTGCCACACAGCCTGGAAGGAAACCCGTGTGGTTGAAGGGTTGGTGTTGTCCCTTTGCAGCACAGATTCTTCACGTGTGAGAAGGGGAGCAGAACCATAAAGCACATCAAGGAGACGTTTGATAAGGTAAGGTCCCTGCTGGCGTGGGGAGGAAGCAGCAGTCCCAGGCAAGGCAGAAGGTTTTACTGCCAGAGAACAGAATCCCAAAAACTCCTTTATGATAGACATACCTGAGGCAGAGAAATGCAGAAAGCAATGCTCGAGGAGCAGCCAGTGAGCTGGGCAGAGGGGCTGGAGATGTCAGTGGAGGGAGAAGATGTGGGATTGGAACTAGATGACCATTAAGGTCCCTTCCAACCCAAACCATCCTGTGATCCTGTTGTTGTATGATGTACATCACGTGTATCATCACACTCAGACTCAAAGGGGCTTGGCTTTCACCTGCAGATGGACGAGAATGGCATCTACAAGGCCATGGGGGAGTTTGACATTTTCATCGACTACATCGAGGAGTATTTGCTGATGAAGAGGAAGAAGTGAGCGTGCCCACGGGTCTGCACCTTCCACACAAACCCTGCTATTTTTGCAGAAATCACTTGAGGCTGCAAGAGCACATGAGAGACTAACTTATTTTAGGATTCGAGAATTACAGGTCAATAACTTCCAGTTTAATATTGTATTTAAAAGTTATTTTTTTTGAACAAGTGAATTTAATATTTATTACTTCTAATACCTCAGTGTTTATGTTTACAGGATGTTTTGAAGGAAAGTGTGATAACTTTGTAAAATGCTATTTATTGTTCTCTATTTTAATACTGTGTATGATAGTGCCATTTTATTCATGGCTTCAAAACACCCAAAGCAGCATTCTTCTGGAGAGTAGATAATGAGTAGAGTTTATCCTGAGCACCTAATCAGGAGCAATTCCAGCTCCAAGCTCAGCAAAGTCTAATTTTAAGCAAATGAGCCCTCACCTCATGTTCCACCCCTCTATTTATTTATGCAGCCAAATGCTTTTTTTTTGCATAACCATGTCTCTGCCTCTGGTTCTGCAGAGGGAATTAGGCACTGAAATATTCAGAATTATGCCCTGAAATATTCAGAATTATGCCATTGCCTTGGCACTGAGCAAAATAACCATCATGCCACTGCAGTAGACCAGTTAACCCCACCTCCAGACATCAGCCTGTATATTAGATTAAGGAAAAAAGAAATAGGAGGAATGAAATGTTTGGTTCTAATAGAACTTGACCTCAATGTCACTATCAATTGACTTCCAGAGCTGCTGGGTCGCCACTCTGCACTTTCAAAAGTTAATATCTTCCTGTTTCCCAATCTTTGATTGGGTTTTACTCACTAGTTTCTTTTATTATTTCTTTTATTCTTTTCGAATTTAGCAGATATTTAATTAACCACCATTTTAAGGTGGCTTGGGTAATTTGCATTCAAATTCCTCCAGCTGCACGCAGCCCTGACAATATTTGGGTTTGCGTTGTTGCTAACCCTGCACACGAGGAGCTGCAGCAGCCAAGTGCTGCTGAGCTTCAGTGCCCCAAGAGCAGCAGGTTTTGGGGCTCCCCATCCTCCTGCATTCCCCAAGAATGCTACAGGACACTGGGCTGGAGGAAAAGTGCCATAACCCAGAGGCATTTGTTTCTAATATTTAGAAGTGTTAGGGCACCAGTGTGGCTGTTTGCTTTGTAAGTTACCACTGAAAGAGGCTGTTTTATGCCTGATTTATTCTGGTTTTGCATCAATGGTGACAGAAGGGCATAGCCACTGGCAGCCTGCCCACCTGGAAATGGGTTAGCCCAGAGGAAGGGCAGCCCCAAAGCAGAAATGCTGCTCCCTGGTCACTTCTTCCACTGAAAACAACCAAGTGGCATCAGCTCAAGGGCAGCATAGGAGCCAAACGCTGTAAAAGTCAAATTAAGCTTCTTACCAGGGCACGTTAAGCTCCTGCACAGCCAGTTCTGTCCTTTTGCCACCAAACGCCTCGACTGCAGTGGTGCAGGAGTAGGAGGATGGCCCCAGAGAGCCAAGAGCATCAGCAGCTCCATCCTGGGGGGTTGTGCTGGCAGCAGGCACCGTGCCTTGGCCACAGCTTCTGTCACTGTGTGACCCTTTACATGTTTATCTGTATGAAAAGAAACCCTTTGTTTATTGCCAATAAAGACCTCCTAATGAATAAAGCCTCTGTTCTGTCCTTGCAAGATGTTAACAGGGTTGTAAATCAGCACCAGTGCATAGATGCTGTGCCCAGTGCTGGGAAGGAGCCCAGTGGGCACAGATCCATGTGACAGGACCACTGAGGATGTGTTGCCTGCATTAACGACCAGGGAAGTGAGAAGACCTGAGGTCCTCACAGTTAAATGCAGCAAAATACCTGCCAGTGACTTCTTACCATAAAGAAACCATGGGTCACTCCAGCCTCTTCAGCCTCTAACTCCAGCAACTGCTTCAGCCCTTGCCCTTTTCAGAGCAGTGTTTCCAGTTAGATAACTGGTTATGTGCCCAGACACCACCAGTGCCCACCAGAGCTTTGGCATCCCTGTGCCTGCTGCCCCAGCTGGGCAGGTGACACAACTGCTGCCCCCATTACCTGCTGAGATGGTTTCATCTCACATTTTTCTCAGTCAGGATAAAGCCTGGATCCTAGATCAGGTAGATACCAGCTAAAAACTAGACTCATATAAGTTCACAAGGGATCTGCTTGCTCTCCCTCAGGCTGGGGATCATGTGTCTGTGCAGATGGATCCATGTGCACGGCAGCTGAATCCTGAACAAAACCGAGCGGCACGCCCGTGGGAATTTAGAGCTTTATTACCAATAAATCCAGAATTCCACCAGAATAACCATTTCCAAACCCCAGCTCACACCCTCAGCCCGGGGAGGATGCCAGCAGGTACCTGCCTGGCCACGTTCCTGTTTCACTTTCGAGCCTCTTTCATTTTCACCACTCTTAGCCCTTCACTCCTGAGTCCAGCAGACTCCAGGTGTTTATTGGCAGCTGCAAGTTTCTTTCCTCACTGCATCAGAAACAAAATGTTTTCCAGTTAATACAACGATTTCTAAGTCTGTTTCTGCCCAGACTTCAGTCTGGTGTTGGTCAGTGGAGCTGCTGAATTCCCTCCAAGGGATTATTTGTGTTCTCAGCAAAACCTGCACTTGTGAGAAGCTTCGTGCCAGGCAGATTTGGTCCACATGCTCCCCTGACACCACCCTGCATGTATTTTCATCCCTTTTATATAACCTTTCTTTCATAGGAAGCTCTCAGAGCCCACGTTGTGAGCTCAGGGCAGGAGACCAAGGACCCTCGTGAGCAAAACAGGTGCCTGGGCTCTGCCCTGCACAGAGAAAAGGGCAACATCAGCTCGGCTGTGGTGAGTTTTTCAGTAAAGCTCAGTCACTCTGGTTAAAACAACCACAGGAAGGAAGCAGATGGGATCTCTCCCACTGCATGGGGAACAAAGGTTTCCAGTTACCTGATGTTACAGGAGTGGTTTGATTCAGCAGAAAACAAAGGCAGAGCAAGTCAGCAGTCTGGAGGGGACGGCTGCCTGCCCGTGAGGACTGGCACGATGGGGACACGCAGCCCCACTCCCCAGAGCTGCCTTGGGAAGCTGGAGGGATTGCAGAAAGATGCTGCAGGTTCCCAGCCAGGGCCACGGGTACACTCGAGGGACAGAGGAACAAGTGCCAGGGGACATTTGGTGCTAGATTGCCACGCAAGCCACGTGTGAAGACGTCTGTGCCGTTTGTCACCAGAACCTGGGGACATTCGTGTCGTGACACGGATCTGGTGGGCAAAGGACACAAACATCTCTGACTAAAGGTCAGAAATTTAGGAAGGGTGTTCTGGAAATCCCAGTACAAGCTGCCTAGGCAACCGAAGGCAACATCAACCATGGAGAACTGACATGCCCAGTGGAGGAGCAATCACCATGATTCATTTCTGGCCCTGTCCTCTAACAGCCTTCTTCCCATTGCTAGACCAGCCCTGGCCACAACGGCCCCTCCCTGTCAGGATGCACTGCTTAAAAAAAGGGAAAAAAAAAAAGGAAATCAAACCCCCAAATGCCCAGGGGAGCCTGGAGAGCTGTGAGACCCAAGGCACCGTTACAAGTCACCCGTGTGACCCGTGACACCTGCCTGGAACCAGAATCACAGCACCAGCATCACCCAGCTCCCCGCTCGCACCACCTTGCCAGGCTGCACCCAGACCTGATGCTCACTACATACCACAGCTCTGTGCCAAAACCATCAGAGTTATGGGGGAAAAAGCCAAAAACTCGAGGCTAGGAGTTGACAGGCTCTTGCACTGACAGGCTTCTGCTGCAGCAGCGTGAGCTGTCCCAGTGTGAGCTCTGTGCACGCTGCCAGAGCTGGGTGAAGCAGCAGTGGGAGAGATTTGCCAAGAGCCAGAGTGCAGGGCTGGGTCTCAGCCCTGCCCCTGCTCTGCCAGATCCACTGCAGGATGAGACCCCAGGCACAGCAGCCTCTCTGCAAAATGAACCAGTGATCCCTGCACGTCTCAGGTGGGTGCAGCTTCTGCTTCTCCTGCATCCCCACGAGCTGCTGCAGCAGGGAGGCTGTGAGCCATGCCCAGGGCTGAGGTGGCTCCTGCCCATCTCGGTGCCAGTCTGGGTGTTTAACTATTAAACCCTAGAGGAAAGGAATAGGAGCTTTGGTCTAAATGCAGACAAGGGGGACTACTACCCAGCCAGAGAAAAGGGAGTGTGGATGCAGGGCTTGCACAGGGAAAAGTTGGTGGTTTCACAAATGCTTTAGTTTAATTGCTTGCAGCTTGTGCACAAGCCCACACAGACAAAACTCCTGAGGACTCCCAAGGTGCCTGAGCATCGGCTGCTCCTGGGACAGAAGAAAGTTTCACCCCAGATAAGGAATGTACCAAGAGCAGCCACACACGAGAGCATCTGCTGCCTGGAGGAGTCATTTCCTCTGCCTTTTCTTTTTTTTCCTTACAAATTTTTCTGAAGGCCATAATCACCTTGATGAACAGCATGTACTTGCTGTCCAGAACACAACTGCACTTCTTAGTCACCTCCTGCTGGTGAAGCTGGGAGGGAAGATGAGCTGATCCAGCTGACCTGGTGGAATTGTCTCCTGAGCACAGCAGGGCAGATGTGGACGTCTCCTCTCAAGGGCTGGGCATGAGGAACAAAACCCCTCTGGCCTCCTTCTTGTGACAGGACAAAATGTGTCTCACAGCATGAGGAAGATGAGCACCTTCTGTGGGACCCTTCATCCTCCTGGTGTGCCACGAGGACCAGGGATCCTGATTTTAGTGGTACGAGGGACCTTAAACACTAAAGGGGCAAAATCTGGGCAACCAGATTTAACTTAATAGTGAAGTTAACTTTTCTTACCTTGCAAAAGCTTTCAGAACTTTCCTGATTTCGGCTGTGGTTGGAATTAATGCTTGTTGTTTAATTTTGACCGCCTGTACTGCTCAGTCCCACGCAGCCCGTGCCTCTCTGTGTCCTAGATTTCAGCAGCACGTGACTGAAATTGGGGCT